ATGTATTACGAGCGTATTTTGACGTTTCAGGAAAAGTCAACTTACAATTTTCATGATTTATTCCCAAAATGAGTCGAATTTTGATGTCAACAGTTGGCAGAAGTGTCTCTGGTCTGAGAGAGTTTCGATGGCACTACTACGAAATTTCATTGGATGGCTAACGCTGGTCTAGCTAGTCACTTTGCCAACTTGCTTTGAACGGTTGTTCGTTGGAATATTATTCGGTGTAGTGGCCACTTCCTATTTCGAAGTCCGAATTTATGTGAAATTAACCGAAATTGGAAAATTTCATTAATGGAAAATGGTAATTTTATTAGGGGTTAATAATATAATATATGTAATAATTAAAACCACTTGCGTTTGAGGTCATTTGATTAAAATTTAATAGATTCAAAAAAATGGCTGACTATTATCTAATCCACTAAAAGATATCTAAGAGAAATCTTCTATTAAAAAGAAAGCTAATTTCCTTATAATGTTTTTAAATATAATTTTAAATGTCAATATATTGAATAAATTTGAATTTTAATTATAAATAACAATAATGAATGTTAAAGATAAAAAAACGAAAGGAAATTAATACAAAGAACAAGTTTCAATGATGATAAAATCGCAAATTTTTAATAACTGGAATTGTAGTAATAATGACTATTGATTATCGATATTTTATAAGTTTTCGATATATCGATAACATCGTTAAAATATCGTTAATGGATAAAAATAACTAGAATTTTTATTTTTATTTTTATTTTCTTGAAAATCATTAAAGCACGTAATAAATATTATTTATGATAAATTGCAATATAAATAATTAAACGCAACATTTGGATATCTGTACCTAGAATATTTTGCTCAATTCTTTCTGAATTATATCCTTCTATTATAAAGCGTGAAATAAAAGAATCGTAGATGGCCCGTGAAAAAAATTGCGTTCACTGGAAGCACACTCATGATAGACGTCATCCGACCGGATATTAGATTTTTTTGTCCTAAGGACGACGCGTTTCAATGTCGTGGCCAACCGACAGCGACAACGTCCACAGCTTGAGTAAATTTACGCGTAAATTGACTCATTTTCAATTAACGACGATTTTAAGCGATTAAAGCGAGCCGCATGAGCCATGGCACGCCCATGTATGACGAGTACCATCTGCCAGTGCATTTTCAGGCCGCACGCGGTGTACCGTGACGATGGAAAAATTTCACGTGTGTCTCTGCCCCCAGTGGCTCCCAAATAACTATCCTACCGTGCGACTGACGGGACTTCCATCGATACCAAATGATTCTCCGTGAAAAAACACATCGAGAATAAAGAGTGACATTTTCCCGTAGGAAACTTCGTTTCGAAGGGAATCAATATTGAAAATTTTCGTGGATATAGCTGCACCTGGCGTCACGCCACCCACGAATCTTTGGACTGGATTATCATCGAAAATAAAAAGGGCGCGAGAGGAAATGTCACTTTGAATATTTCATCTGTTTTTTAACGAAGAATCGACTGCACTGTTTTATAATGCATATTCCTTATAACACGGTATAGAATCTCAGGATAAGTGATATAATTAGACAAGAAGTGATGTAATAAACTCCAGATGGAAAAATAGAAAGAGGAAATCGAAAATTCGTCGAATAATATTAAAACAAGTATATAAAAGGATGTTCACTTCGGATCTTGCGTTCGAAAAGAAGGGGATCAAACGAATGGATTTTCAAAACGAATTTTTTAAGAATGACTTTCTAAAAAAAAAAAGAGAAAAGAAAAAATGTATTTTTCGCGTATAACATCTTGTATGTATGACATCCTCTGTTCGTCCAAAAACGAAGAGGAAATGTGACACGTTTCCCGACTACGTTTCGTGCGAGTTTGCATGTAAAAATTTCGAGTAACGTATCCCCCTATCCGGAGCTAATATCGATCAGAAATTTGGGAGCCACTGACCTATACATGCTCGCCACCCATTCACATATACTCGCCTATATACGTGGGTGTATCAGCAGAACGTCATCGAACGTGTTTAGGACAGAATTGGCTGATGGGCCAGGTGAGGTGTCGCCATATGAGAAAAATCCTGACGGTTTACTAATAACGAACACGTTTCAACGCCAGACGCCATCGATCTACGTTCATTTATCCACGCTTGCTAGGATTGGAAACCAATTTCCAGAGAAGTCGAGTTCTCGACGATACCTATATATATATATATATATCGATTCGAATTTCAAACCGACCTCAAAAAAAAAAAAAATTAAAAAAAATAAAAAAATAAAAGAGAGAAAGGGGGATTGAAAAAAAAAATAGAATAATCAAACTCGCAATACCATAGATGAAATTGTTACAATTCAACGACTGTTTTCGAACGATTTGAAGCTCTCTATACGATCCGCAACAGTGTTCCTGAAAATCTTCCAACTGGGAAGGATTAAGTGGGCGCGTCAGCGTCGATTTTCAACGTCAACCGGCGTTCACGATGGGGCGAGTCTGCGTGCGAGGGTGAAACAGGGACGCGTGGCCTAGACGCGTGTACCGTCGGCCGTCAACAAGCGTGCACAACTTTCACGAGGACTTTGCCAACCCGTGGCCGACGATACACGCCGACCCCGATTTCCGCGGGAGGATCTATGCATATATACACGTACGTACACACATACACACGCGCGCGCACACCCTCTTGCACGCTTAAGCTTCGTAAGATAATTGTTCATCGGGAGGGGGGCGAGAGGGGGATGAGTGTCAGGCTGCGGTCGCGTAAATGCCGCGTGCATGCGAAACTCCACACTGTTTCCGTTTATCGTGGCGAGATCAATCCGCAATACGAGTCGCGCCCCAATTCTCGACCGCGATCATCCCTTCCCTTTGTCCCTCCCTTGTGGAGTATCCGTCAACCCTAAACTGCTGTTTTCCCCCATTTTTTAGGTCATTTTTTCTTTTTTCTTTTTTCTTTTTTTTTTTTGGTCACTGAAATTTTCTACTACTTGCAAAAAAATCTGTGATTTTTCTTTGAATTGGATGGAGTTGGATTTGGGGTTATTGTATATATATATATCGAGAAATATTGAGATGATTATGATAATTAAAGTATTATTAATTTTAAAAACTAGAGGAGAGGTAATATTTTTTCTTCAATGCGAAAATTTTTGTATTAGAGATCTTAAAATTTTTCTAGAAGATCTATTTGATGAAAAAAATTGGCATACATTGGATAATTTTTTTTTTAATAATAGTTTATTTTAATTGCTTATTGAGAAATATTAAGACGATTGTGATTGGGTCTTAAGGAGCTTAAAATATAGGAGTCAATACATATTATTATTTGTGACAGATGGAAGTTTGTCAATTAACAATATATTCGATAATTTGTGTCATTCTTTGTACTATTTTTTTTAGTGCTATTTTTCTTAACATTATTTTCTGATTATCAACATTCTTCCGTTCATCCGAGTAGATCTAGATGGTCTTCGAGTTGTTTATCTTTCATATTATCTTCTAAATTATTCCGTATTGCATTTGATGCAACGCAGTTTGCAATTCCGGATCAATGCTAATGCAACGATGCTATACATTCTTATGTAAAGTAAGTATCCAAGTTGCGGAAGTTGCAACCATAAGTCTGTTGACGATCTATGTCCATTCTTCCGTTGTATTCCAATTTTTTATCTGAATATACAATTCTAATGATTTCTATCAAATTTGTAATCGTTTCAAATTGATTGATTAGATATTAAAATAACAGTCATTTAATCATTGAATTATCTTCGTGTTTCGATTATTTATCATAAAGCAAGCAAAGAATTGTTGTCTGAAGATCGTATTTTTCAAGATTTAAACAAAAATCTTTGATTTATTGCCCGCCTGACACTATCACTAAAACATTTTAGCGTAACAGCATTTTCGAATGTAATGTCGAGAGATATTTGGATTTTAGGAGGAAAAATAGGGAATAAAACAAAAAATAGTTTATCTGACGGTCCATTTATTCGCTTACGTCGATATTTTATACTTTGTTGTTATGGACGTATATATTCGAAAACACTGCACGAAGTAAATATTAGGTATCCGGTGCATTAAACAATACAGTCACGTTGTTAAATGAATATGCATTTTAACTACCATTCATGGTGACGAGTCGTTAATTTGATATATTTTGAAATGGAAGCCTGTTTGACTCGTATAATTGTCGTCAATATTATTATTTTTCTTCCTATCTTCTCGTTTTATTAAACTAAATTAAGAAAAAAATCAGTAGTCAAAAATTCAGTCAAAATTAAAAACAAGTTTCGTCATTTCAAAATCATTGCTAATAAAATTAAACGTCGATGGTCAATCGAGAAATTTCTAAATTTTTCGTCTAATTCAATGATCAATTCTGTTTATCCATTTGTATCTCTATGACTAAAAGGAAAAGTATATCCAGAAATCCTTTCCTCTTCTCTAAAAAATAAAAAATAAAAAAAAAAGCAGAGATCAATTGGCAAAATGCAACCGACAGGAACGGCAGTTCGATTTTCATGCGATGAAAAACAGTACCGTTGATCGGTTCGTTCGTTCCGTTGAAAAATTACTATTCCCCACCACTGTCCACCTATTTCTATTACCAGAACACCGAACTTTCGAAACGGACAAATGAATTTCTGTTTTCATCGGTACGAAACGATTACGAGCAATTCATCGACGCGAGGCCGTAAATTTTTCACGAAATCGATAACTCCACTCGTTTTTCGCCATTATCGTTAATGCGACAGCGTCGCAAGAGAAACTGCTATCTCCGATGATTGTACCGACGGTTAATAACCGGACGGTTTCATGGGCTTTAATGGAATTGCCGCGAGAATAGGACGTATGTATCGGCTAACCGAATCTTCTCTCTTTCTCTCTTTCTCCCCCTCTTTCTCCCGCTTTACCGCGCTCGATTACGGGAGAAGGACGATGCGGATTATTGAAAAGAGGACATGCACGTTGGTCGTGGACAATCAGCCGCGTCATTAACTCGTAAGAGCGAAGTGGTTCACTTTTTCCTTTTTTTTTTTATCGTGATGTGCGTGTTATCTCTTGGTTTTTTCATCGGGAAAAGTAGTGAATCGGAATGTTTGAACTTGTTTCTTTGAGACTGTTTCTCGTTTATATACGTAACGGGGATACGAAAATACGTGGAATGAAAATGAAATTTAGGTTAGGTATGGGTATGGTATATACTCTCAGTTGAATTCGTGAAAGGTTATTTATTGACGTAAATCTTTTGATATCTTGTTCTCTTTTTGAAAAGTACCAACTTTCATTTGAATTTGTTTCTCTATACACGTATGTATTCTCCACGAGATAAATTAGATCAAGATTAAAGGTTATAATCGTAAAATTGATATCAATGGCGAGGAAATTGAGTAAGTGTTAAAAAGGTAGTTGTAATAATTCGTTATATTAAATAAATTTTGATTTTATCCTGAATCTTTGGATAAATATAATAAATCAAGATAATAGCATCAGATTATTGAATCCAAAATGCAATATTTTTAAATTGATTGAACAATAGATCTAATAATAGTTGAGAAAAAAATACTTGTACAATAACCTAAATGACATAACCTAAATCTTTTATAAATGACAGAATATTACGGGAAAAAATGGTACGTATAATAGATAAATTTTGATATATTTTAACACGAAATTATATTTTAATTTTAATTTTATCACATTTGTATTTTTGTTTTCAATTTAGTTTCACTCAAACAAAAATTCTCGATCAACGAACAGTTAAACAGTCTGTAGAACAAAAATATCATTGCACAACAGAAGATCGACTACAGTTAACATGAAAATAACACGATTGTTATTAATTTAACGTTGGAGATGTACAACTTCAACAGTACTTGTTATATACGAAGGAAATGTAATATAATTTTGCATATGAAAACAGTTTTTGTTGAGATTAGAAATTACAACTTACTTATTGTTTTGTTTAAAGTTTCACAGAAACATTGAAATATATTCTATTCTTTTTTCTTTTTTTTAAAGAAAGATCAAAGAACCGATAAATAATAAGAAGACACGAAATTAAAGGAAACGTCAGAACAATCGAGACTTTTCATGGTTCATGGCTCGATAAATTAGACGACGCTGTTTTAAAAACACTTGGTAAATTACGAATAGACAGTCTTCAGGATGGGGAAAGAAATGATCGAGGAAGAACAATTCGTTTTAACTACAGCCCTTCGCAAGAAGTGCCTTCATCACCAAGTAGATTAACTCGACTCGGCTTCACCGGAATTTTTCCACGTCACTGTACCGTTGTCTCTTTAGTCAATTAAAGTATCCTTTATCTTAACATTCTTAATTATATCACCATCATCATTTAACGTGTTAAAAATACGTTAGATCAAAAACGAAATGTAGATGATTAAAGTTTAAGTTAAATCCTAGTTGAATTCAAGATTAGAAGTTGCTGTATAATTAATCTTATGGTATAATATTCTTAATATATCATAATGATCAATCTCGATGATTAGATTTTATTAAAAGTACGTTGCAAAGCAAAATGAAATATAGGACTAGATTAAATTCAAGATCATAGATTATAACGTTAACATTTTTTGATTCAATTATTTTTGTATCAAAATTATAGTATTCTATTATAATAAATTCGAATCTAACGAATTTTTAACCAAACTAATTTTAGCTTGACAAACGCAGAGCTTTTATTCGACTCGTACCGTGTAGATTTTTATCTACCTCTTAGAATTAAATTTAAGTAGAAGAGTCTTAAATTTTACTTGGATCTGATCCGACAGCCCTCATACATCGGTCCAACCGTCGAAAAAAAATTCTAAAACCCCCCTCCCTCCATCAGATAATACCTCTGGATCTTTGAAACCACTTAAAAACTCTGTCTATATTCAAACAGTAATCTTGAAGTACAGCATCTTTAACCTTCCTAACAAGCGTTAATCCCGAACCCTCCCCCAGAACCCTCGCCGAGTCTCGAGTCCCTTAGACGTCGAGACAGAAGCGGTAATTGAACGTTATTATATCCCTCGTGCGGCGGCCGTGGTCCAGGCTTCTTCTTGGGTTCCGTAAAACGACTGGAAAAACGCGGGGCCGGGAGAAAATGAACGCGGTTTGAGGACATTCCCTCTTGCTTTTGCATCCCTGGTAAACGGTCTTGGCCTTGTTTCTCTCTCTCTCTCTCTCTCTCTCTCTCTCTCTCTCTCTCTCTCGTGTTCCCTCCCTCCCTCGTGTCTGCTGCGCGAAGGCGGCGCCGCGGACAAAGATGGAAAAAACGGAGAAGAAACAAAAGCGTAGGGAAAAAAAAAGAAAGGGGGGAGGGGAAGGAGAAGCGTGGGAAGGGTGGTGAAGAATGGTGGCGAAGAGTGTGTGTTTCGGGGACGAGGAAGGCTCGGGGGGGTGGGTGGCCCTTTAATATTTGCTCGCTGCATCTCGCGAGTACTTTCCGGGGAGAGAGAAGATCGATGCGAGTGTGACCTCCTTCTCTCGCGGCCTGTTAAATTAAATTATTATGATCGTTATCGTTAAGCAGCCGAGAGGAGAGAAGATATCGCGGCGGTCGGATCGCGCGTGCCGACACCTGTAAGTGCACACAGGAACGTCGGTGTGGATCCACGAGAGAAAGAGAGACAGAGAGAGAGAGAGAGAGAGATAGAGCCGGAGGAACGGACGCGGCAAATTCTATACCGCTCGAAATAATTAGAGGTTCTCGTGTTACCTTGTTGTGTGCTAATGGATCCTCCGCCAGATGGAGGATTTTTAGCGTGCAATTTCCCGCGGAGTTGGCGGATCGGACGGTTCGGAGGAGAGGGATATATTGTTTTAATTTTAGTGTTAAACCATTGTTGCTTAATTTATTTTTTTTATTTGTTGTAATTTGCAACACGAAATTTGAAATTTGTTTATTTTATATATATATATATATATATATAACAGCAACTATAATAGATATTTGTACATATGTATATAGATAATTAAAAATATTATTATAAAAATAATTAGATATATATAATTGTGTTTTTAGTTGAACAAAAATTAATTGTTAATTTTATCAAATTGGTGCATTGGTGCATTTTTAATTTTCAAAGATTATTGCAAGATCAAAGAATATGAAATTGGTAAATTGATTTGATAGTTCTGTTATTCATAATCAATAATTTAGAATTATTATTTTATATGTTCGGAATAATGTTCACTTTTTATTATTATATAGTATTAAAAATTTCAATTTCTCAAGGATATAAATCTAGAATATAATAAAAATTTAGTTTCTTGAAAACAGTTCGGTTTCATCCCTGAATACAATTCGTATTTTTCAGATTAAGGATTTCAAATATAAGATATGTATAACATTTCAATACTTTGCATAATTAAATGCTAAGTACATTAAATGACTCGACGCTCGCTAAAAAGTTAAACACGAAGCTCAAAGGAAAAGTGGAACAAGCGATCAAATTTTTATTAGTAAATTCAACAGAGATAATTCACTTTTTTGAGAAATATTTTAAACCTGAACTAAATGAATAATCTAAAATATACAATAATCACAACGAAATTGTATAAAAAACAAAATAAAAAGCACCAAACTCCTCTATGGATTTATTAAAAAATCAAAATAACAAATAAAAGAATAAATGAAAAAAATGAAATTTTAAAAAAGATTGAATAATATTTACAATATAAATAACAAATTCAAAAAGTTATTCCATATAAAATTACGATTCAATTTTTTTCAACAAAATTCATGTCTCTCTCAAAATAACCATGACTCAAAAAAAATCTAACCTAACAAAATTAATGAATAACCATCGAATGCCCGATAAAGCATCAAACTTTACCACGATCTATCAAAAAATCCTTACTTTCGCGCAACCCATACATCACGCAATTATCATGTCCCTAATTGACTCATCCGGAACTCTGGATCCACCACCGTAACGATTATAATCCCATATGCGTTCCACGCGAATCACCATCCATATTCATAAAACAGTCGCGCTACATCGCCGAAACGTTAACAAGCTCCATCCACCATAATTTCAAATTAACGCAAACATCATAATCGGAAGTAAGGCGTAGAAACGAAACCTCGATTCGTACTCGTTCGCAAGAAGATCGAGCTACGAGATACATAATTCTCCCGGGACGCCATCAAATTATATTAATCCACTCCCATCAGGAAATTGGAACTCGCCGCGAGGAGAGAAGAGCAGCTCGCGGTCGACGCGTTTTCTCTTATCGATCTATCCGCGCGATATACGCTCTGCTTATCCGCGATCCAATCGTGGATACGTTGCCGATCAGGATCAGCCTTCCGCCTTTTCGGAAGATTGTATGAGAAAAACGCGAGACTGGTAGAAAAATAAAAAAAAAGAAAAAAAGAAGAGAGAAAAAAAACTGAAATTCCAGCGGATAGTAATTGGGTCAAAGCTAGAGCCACATTCGAGTTCCACACCGAGTTCGTTGTTTATCCCGTATCGCGAAATGAGTTTTGGAATGAGAAACATGAAGGAGAACGTTTACGGTATACGCGTGTATATGGACGACAAATAAAAGGGAACAAGACGGTGAAACTCGACAGCTTGTTATCGCTGATGGAGTTTGCCCGGGATAAAATTTCTTGGGAGTATCAATTTTTTGAATTTCTTTTTACGTATATGTGAAGCTCGATTTCTGGTAAGTTTATTTGGAACAGGTATTGAGATGATGGAAATTATTGAATCATTGGGAAAGAAAAAGTAAATAATGGGAACGAATGTCTAAGCTATTTGTTTTGGTGAAGGTATTCTGATTGATATTGGAAGGGGAATATTGTCGAATCCTTCGTTCGGAAAAGAAAATAAATAAAAGAAGTAATACTAAGCTATTTGTACGATGAGAATTTCTAAGCTCTCTATAACTGAAATTTTTGTTTGGTGAGAGAAAAAATTATAATTGATCGTTATTCTTTCGCCTGATTTAAAAATGTAAATTTGACAATTGAATAAATAAACTATTTAATGTTAATAAACATAAATAATAAATGCAATGCAATCAATAATAATTACAATAAATAAGAGTAAAATACAATAAGAGATAATGAAATAAAATCTAAAAAAATCTCTAAGTTTTATATATATATATATAAAATAATCCCTAAATTATATAAAATTAATAATTGATAGAATTTGTCTACATAAGAAACTCTAGTAATAGTATAACGAGTGAAATAACGAATAAGATGCAATTGTAATAAAAATTCGTGACTATTATTATTCCGAAAAAACTTTCTTTGTACATTCATAAAACGAGTATAATATCCCTGTCTGTCATAACTTTTCAAATACCCCAACCACTCTGGCCCCGTTAAGTCTATTCTGATGAATTTTGTTGGAAAGAAAATTCGCGATGGCTCCCATCGCGCGTTGCGATTCCATGTTCCAAGAGTTATCGAACAAACGGCGGCCGTACTAGGTTAGAATTTTTAATATGATCAAATGCACGCTATGATCGTATCCAACTGCGGCACAGAATGACACAGCACGTCTGCTGTCAGAAAACGTCCCTTGTAAATCGCATAATGTATCATGAACGCATATACACCAGTAAGAACTTCACAAAATCACTCACCATCGACGAGTAGACAGGCAAACAGCAATCCGAATTTCCAATCCATGATCACCGCACGTCAGTTATACAGTCTTAATTGTCTTCGATGATAGTTCACCAGACTCACACAATGTCACATTCACAGTGTCGGCCAAGTTAATTCACGCACTATAAAACCCCGGTCACAAATGAATATGACAGTTACAAGGAGTGGGCGAGTGTGATAAGAACACTTTGACGAAAGAAAGAGGAGAACAAGCAGTCGAGGCTGAGAGGTTTGTCGGACTCCCCTTGACCTCTCTCACGAGAAATTGCACGCGTGACGATCGCGCGAAAGGCACGCGCCGCGAGGAAATAACTGCTGCCGGTTAGACATTGGAACGTGTGCACTCTATACCGCGCGACGATCGCGTGTCCAAGTGCCGCGACCCTAACGGGCTCATGCCACCCACTCCGCGACTCTCCCCACCACTATGTTGTTCGCTGCCGTCGAGCGGAGCAGCAGCATAGCCGAACATTGACGGAAACGGCCGAACGAGCCGCAGAAGTTGCGCCCTTCCAGGCGACGTAGTGGGGATATGATAGAGAATGGTGGAGGTTCAGGAACGACGTACGATGGCTCAGTCCCCGTACCGTGTCTGGGATATTGGAAGATTGGCCCGTTTCGAGTCAACGAGATTTTGTCCCCATGATTTGCTTCCGAATGAGATCAACTGGTTATTCGGTAACTGGTTGGGGCGGATAGACGAGGCAAATGATGGGGATTAGATGGAGAAAGTCACACTTTTTTTTGGAATTTTTCTGGCACATAATGAAAGGGAAAGTAATAATAGAGGTAAGTCAGTGGTAATGATTGTACAAACGAGTCAAGCGAGGTGACAATTAGGGATGAGCCGTGGCAATCGCTTCCTTTTTTTGGTAATGATTTTATTTTTTCTTTAAAAAATTTTCGATTTTTTTTCATTACTTTCATTCTTTTTTTAAGAGGAAAAAGGAGATAGATTCGTGAAGAAATAAGATTATAATTATTGATGTTCTCTTTTTATGTTTGTTTTTCGCAAGGACAATTCTGTGAAATTTTTCTGTATTTTAAATACCGGACCAACTGAAAAAAATTCCTTCGCAAGAATGGAAAATTTGTTTCCCGCTTTTTATTCGCGTCCAAACGAGGACACGGTCTCTTGACGACTTAATTAGATTTTTGTTATCCAGAAAAGCCAAAAAAAAGTAAACCCTCCCTGTCCTTTTCAGTCTTAACATTTCCCCTTGATTATTTTTTATATTAATCAACTTTCAAAAATCAAATACGAAATATAATAAATTTTTGGATATAACATAAATATATCAGCTTGAATAATATCTCTTTTATAATTATTTAAAATACTAAAAACTGGAAAAAAAAATTATAAGAATAAATAATCATGAAGTTTTTTTCGTTTTAATTGATCGATATATCATGAAAAGAAAAATAGTTATAGGTACTCGAACACGAATAGAATCATATCAAACTGTGGAACTACAATGACAAACCGCTGCAGTTATCATCACGTACGCACTTTTACAATTATAACTACACTATTGTAACTACACGCGCAGTTATATTATCTATGCAACACAATACGCATACAGATATTGCTAAATTCCAGAATAAAAATGTTACTAATAATTTTAAATATTTTATTCCGGTGGAATTACGTATTTTGGAAGTTAAAGGGAGAGTGTTTCAAGTAAGTGACCAGGATAACAGGTTTCAAGCTCTCTCTGATGGAGAGGAACATCATGTAATTGATACCTACACACGAGCAATTGCATGCCAACCAACGTGTGCACGGTTAGCTAGTTTGCATTTGAAAAGGTGCGTTGCGACACTAGTTCACAAGTGTTAAATACGATATGAAATCTGAAGTAACAATTTCAAAAAAATTGTCAAGAAAATAATAAAAATAATAAAATATATTTTAACTGTTAAATAATGAAGATAAAAAAAATTAGATTATCTTTTCAAGAATCCTAACCTCAAAATTCGAATGGATCAAAAAATGTATTATAATCTAAATTAAAAGGATTAAAAAAAGATGTTTTTAAATCTCGATACTGCTCATCGAAAGTGTGATGATCTTACTACTTACATCATTACGCCATAAAAGAGATATGGAACATAATTCTTAGCAAACTACTTAACCATCCTTTCATCCTTGTATAAAATATAACCCTTAACCTAACCTCTCATACAGTGCCTAAAACATTTGAGCTTAGATAGATGTTCTTAACGATGAATCCACAGCAGATCCAGGATAAGTTGCTTTTCTCTCTTTTTTTTTTTTCTTTTTAGCACTAGATAGCATAGACAGAGAAAAAGAGAATCGCAAAGCATGCTTTGCTGAATTATTAAAAAATCATGTCTTCCTTGCAATGATAACTTGAAAGGATCGAAAATTGATGAAAATCGAGGCAGAAATCGAGTGTGTAGTGATTTTTCAGCGAGAACGCGAAACAATGTGTCGCTATTTTGCCTGAAAACTGACCGAGAAATCGATGTGATAAATCTTGGCTGTCGAGGTCCATGTAGGAGCAAAGGATATATACGCTTGCGCAAAGACATGGTTCTACATTCTACACAAAAACGTCCCATTAACGGCAAGTATTATTTTGTTGTACGTATAGCTCTTGCAGCCTGTTGCAATTTTTTCGTCCATAATATTTCAATGAATATCGATTTTTTCCCTTTCTCTTATTTCTATTGACATTCATTTAAAATATATTTTTTTTCTCTTTTTTCTATATTCATGGAGAAAAACCGATTTTTTTCGATAAATTCTACTGCTACTTTTTCTATTCAAGAAAAAGATTAAAAATAAGTTAGGTTAGCTTGTTAATTTACCAAGGAATTTTATGGAATGTCGATATCGATTTTTTTTTGCGTAAATACGATAGAAATGTTATACAATTCTCGTTCTCGCAATCATAGTTTCAAAGGAAAGTATTATTGCGACGCGAATTAAGGACACTTAATAATGTTCATTGACGAGCTGACTTTATCGCGATCTGGCCGTAATGGAACCGCGACTATAATCGTGATTTTATCTCTAAAGGAGTTTAAAACGACCACATCTCTTACCATTACTACCTTTTTTTTGATCGATGAAAATGTGTCTTAATCGTTTATAAATCATGATACATTTGCCACCAAAAAACCTGCCTGCACAAAACGATAACATTGAGATTTAATATTGGTCACGAAAACGTAGCGTAAGATATATATATATAACGTTTGAAAGCACGATCGAGCTAAAGCTACGGTATGAAAATTTTCAAAAGGAAATTCAACCGAGAGAGGCCAAAGCCTAGTTCGCACGTGGCTCACCGTCCAAACAATCAGAAAGGATAATTACTCGTGGAAGTTCATTTCGGATGGGCTAGCAGAAAGCGTTAATTGCAAAACACAAACACTTATCCTGTGCCGTTGAATGTGTAAACGGGGCCAGAACCGTCGCTTGGCGACCTTTTCCTGGTAATTACAATTCTTTTTATATTTTATTCTCTCTCTCTCTCTCTCTCTCTCTCTCTCTCTCTCTCTCTCTCTCTCTCTCTCTCTCTCTCTCTCTCTCTTCAATTTAACTGTGCGTTCACTGTATATTTTCTTTATATATATATATACATGCGGGTATAAATAAGATAACCATGTACGATGCACTTTACGCGTCGCTTATTCTCCCATAAAATGGCCCTATTAAACCGTTATTTTCTATCGAAAACGCCATTTACTTAATTTTCTCCTGTGAAAAATGTGTTTTCGAATTCAGTCGACTTTAATCGACCAAAATCGACTTCCCGCGAGGCACAACTCCCCATTTTACTCTCCTCTTACGATCAGTACTATACGACAGTACGACCGTACTTTGCCTCCTCCCGTCCCCACTCTATTCCATAAGAGATGGCTTCGGTCTAGGGTATCTTTAAAAGGAACCCCTGATGTACGAACTGAGAGCGATCATAAAACTGCTACGATGAAATCAACAAGAGATTCAACGATTCGATTAACCTCAATTAGAAAAGTGATCGTGATTATGGACTATCCATAACGAAAACATCAACTCCATAAACGATTCCATAATTCGCGTCTGAGTTCTCGAAATTAATTTAAAGTCGCATTCGTGTTATTCGTATGTCCTTTGCACGTCCAATTATAAAAAAGGCTAATTATATCGTGTTCCCTTTGAAACCATTTTTATCCGATATAATTTTAAAGTTTGAAAAATAATTCAGCTATTTCATTATTTTAATACAGATAAAAGTGAAATGATTTCAAAGGAATATTGGATAAAAATGAAATATTTTCAAAGAAAAATCAATCTAATTTAATTCTTTTTTATCAATTAATATTATGCAAGAAGATGAATGTTAAAAATTAAAAAAAAAAAAAAAGAAATAGATTTTAAACATTCATTCTAAATATTCTCACTCTATATGTCGATAATCTCGTTAACTTTTAAACTAGACAACTTTCTCAAAAACATTATCACGCAAATCTTTCTCGTTTTCTACAAATTATCCTACAAAATTATGAATTTTTATTAATCAATGATAAAAATTCTTTCTCTTTTTTCTTTACTCCTTAATCCTAATATTACATTTACTCAATCATTAAAATTTCCAGGTTAGATCGCTCCCGTATATCGTATAATCCCGTTAATTAACACGAACCATTATTACTAACTTTTCCAAAAACATCATCCTCGCAAATCCTTCTCTCTCGACGCGACGAATACACGACGAAATCGAGAGGGTTTATAGATTCCAACGAGCCTCCATCCCTTCCCTCTTCCATTCTTATAGTGGTCGATTTAAGGGGTTCCATAAAACTCTCCCGAGAAGATGGAGAATCGCGGGAAGAAGGAACAAATAACGGAGCAGAGAATCGTAAGGAATAATATACGATAAATCTCGACCGCGATGTTCTATGGTTATTCAGAAGGAGAATGGGGGGAGGAGGGGAGAGGGTTGTGCGCGCGCGAGCACAAGTCCTTTTACGCGTGCATTCAGGGCCGACGGTGACTTTTTCTGGCCCCGGAGCTGAAGAGAGAAAGAGAGAGGGAGAAAGAGAGAGAGAGAGAGAAAAATTGGAGAATACAAAAGCTGCGGGTCACGAAACAGGCGAGCATTAATCCTTTTATCAAGAGGCATAAATGTTTGAAATGTGACAAACGTTTGCCCGGTTGAGTTTGTATTTTTAATAAAGCGATATTTTTTTCTGGAAACATTTAACTAGGAAAGTTATTCGCTTTCAAGTAGTTCGAGGTTGGTGTTTCGAAAACGAGTAAAAAATTGAACAAAATTAATTTTTTTTTTATTCTATTCGAATTCTAATGTAAATGTTTTTTTTTTTCGATCGAGTTGAAGTTAGGTTAGGT